TAAAATGAACTAAGGGATCTCATTGGCTAAGGTAATCCTGACTGAAATTCTTTGGTAATGTAAATAATTGTGCTTTGTCTTAGCAGTTGGGGCACAACTCTTCCAGAAATACACTGTTCTCTAGAATTTAGGTTTATTAAAAGGATAAGAGAGCCTGCCAAGGACTGTGGGAAGTTAAGGAAGGCAATTCTCATTTCGTGGCTTAGAGATGTAGCTTTGCTGGGGTAGTCGTAGTAAGAATGGCATTCATGGTTGGTCCCCAGATACTCCTAAGTGCTTGGGAGGTGAGCCAGAGTTGGGATATTCTATATCTCCAGATCTTTCTCTTGATCTGACTCAGGTTTGAGGAGGTAAATACCTAAGTTATGGGGTACCCTCCAGGATGGAGACACATTTCAGCCCCAAATGGAAGCAGTAGTGCTCCCTTGGCAGTAGTTGTTCTCTCCTGATCAAATGAATTATTACTGTTGCATTTTGATGAATTCCTAGAAACTCCTCTTTGTTTTCTGGATTGCACTGTAAGGGGATTTTGTTCATATTGTTGTGGACCAGCAAGTCCTGTCCTAGGGGAATGAACCTGCTTAGACTGAGGCCCCGAATACATGACACCTGTAAACAGGCAGGCAGGTCCACAGCCTTCAGTGTCGGGGCTTGAACAAGTGATCGAGTTCAGATAAGTTGTGAAGCTGGCTGCATTTTCTATTTCCCACCTTGAGGTGGAGGTAGAGGAAATAGAAACTGAACAATGCAATGTTTCTAGAAGATCCCTGAAGGGAGGAGAGGCCTAGGAAAGACACAACCTTTATAAACAATCTCATGGCACACATACAGTAATGACTAATATTATCTGGCATACCAAAAATATGTTTTTTGCCTATCTGACCAAAAAAAATTATAATTTTGATTCATTCACACCAGATAGCAGTTGTTGTGTTGGCTATTGTCTTTTTAAAATTTTTTTTTTTTATTTGACAGTCTAAAGGAAAAGAAGTCAGTGCCCCTGACTAAATAGTCAGGTATTGCATATTTTAAAAATTCTTGTGGCACACTGGTTGAAAATTGCTGACCTAAGATAAAAAGATCTGGTCTCTCTAGGAAGACAGTAGGCCATCTACGATAACAATCTTGACTGTCACAAGTCACTGTCTTATGCTGCATCCAATTAGCCTGTGTCTTAAGGTTCATATGAACTCACTTGGAGCTAGGCTTGTGGCTTCTTGTGGCTGAGAGTTTCTAATTTCTTAGATCCTTAGGAATTCTTGGCGTGGGTTGATTGAAGTATATTCACCTTAGGACAGAAGTGATAACAATGAGGGCAGCCAGAGGACACCATGAAATGTTGACACGTTGTCTGTAATGTCTCATGTATTGTATAAATTTGACATCAACTGCATCTCAAAAGCCAGATGCGCCCTGGCCGGTTTGGCTCAGTGGTTGGAGTGTCGACCTGCAGTCCAGAGAGACCCCGGTTCGGTTCCCGCTGGGGGTGCTTATCTCGGTTGCAGTTTGTCCCCAGCCCTGGTTGGGTCATGCGGGTGGCAGCCACTCGATGTGTACCTCTCACGTCAATGTTTCTCTCTCTCTCTCTCTCTTCCTTTCTTTCCCTCCCACTCTATCTGAACAAAAAAAGGAAAAATGACCTCAGGTGAGGATAAAAAAAAAAGCCAGACGCTACTCTGGAGATTTCCTGGGGAGACACTGTTTGCTACATGCTTTTTAGTTGTTTCTAGTGGTATCAATAGCCAGGCAACCTACCTTCATTCTACTTTTCTTAATCTGGTTGAAGACTGAGGTGAAAATCAGAGCAACTTTTAGCTGGGAGTGCCCTTGCACAGAATACACTGATGTACCATATACAAGGAAACAGCTAGTAGAAAATTTGAGGCATCTTGAGGATAGGAGGGTTGATGTGACTGGAGCAGCCAAGCGGAGGGTAAGTGGAAGAGAGAAGGTCAGAGGACCCAGGTCCTTGGAAGGGAGGGTGGATTTTATTCTGGGTTCCTTGAGAAGTCAGTGGAGGGTTTTAAGTAGGTCAGTCATGTGCTCTGATTGACATATTTGAAAGATCTGTGTGCTAATTAGAGAATAGGTTGTGGGGGGAAATCGTAGGGGCATTTCTGGAAGCAGGGAGACCAGCTAGAAAGCCCTTACGGTATTCCAAGTGCAGGAGGACTGTGGCTTAGACAACAGAGAAGCATTTACTCCTGAATTCAAACTATTGCAATATACTTAAATTGCATCATCTTGCTCTTAAGAGTTACAAATAGCAAATGTTTTAGGAGACAGTCTTAGGACCAAGTGGAAAAAAACAACAACAACCTCAATTTGAAGATAGCATTTGTTTGCAAAGCTCAGGCCCCAAAGAGAATATTCCCTTAAACCACTAACAAGAGAGTAGTTCACTGTTCTTATGGGAAGTGATTCAGCTCTCGAGCCCTCTAGGAGAGGGGTTAGCAGGAGAGACCTTGGAGGCCCCAAGAAAAGCCCCTATCATTGAGCACATGTGTGGTAATAGAAGTAACTCTGAAGAAAAACTGGTTGGAAGTTGACATTCTTATAATGATCTGGGGCTGCTGGGGGTCTGTGGACGTTAGGCCTCATGCTCTTCCCTTTCCAACAGTAGGTAGAAATTCCTCTCTTATTGGGGATTCCCAGAATTAAGTTCTCAATTCGAGATGCTGATTCAGCCCTTTTCCTCCTCAAGGACCCTACAGGAAGCTGTGCAGCGGCAGAATGTGAGATATCGGAAGGCGAGTCCAGAGCCCTCCTCCCAATCCCGCTTCTGCTGCTCACTGGCTGAGGACTTTTAATGTGTTTTAATGTGTTTTAATGTGTTCTCATCACAGTTGCTCGAGCTCTTCCAGGTTCTATACTGCCTTTGACATTTGTCTTCTATACAGCAGGCCTCTGATATCCCTGGAGTGCCCTCTCCCTTTGCAGCCCTTGCTCAGGAACATTTGCATCTCAGATAATCCCAAGAATGCACCTCAGCACTAGTTGCTGTGTGTGTTGGTACCACTGGGTCTGCATTCTCCTTTTGGCTCTTGTGTACAAACAGACCATGGGGGAATGCATTTTTAATTGTTAGTATTCAGTATTTTATAGCCTCTAAAGCTTCCTTCTCATTCTAGAACCGGGACCTATGTAGGTTTATTCAATATTATTCCCCAAATGGATGTAATTGTTGACTAGTTATTACTGGTTACCCAATTCTTCCCCAACTTTGGTGTAACAGGTTGTGCTAGCTTCATTTGAGGTTCTTCTGGAAAAATGGCTGACACTTTCTTTAGAGGAACGGGGAGGGGTGTCAGTCCCATCTATCTGTGTACCCATAATCATTCCCTGTTGCTGTTTCCTGTTGACAGATGTAGTGGTGACACCCTATCCTGGATCTAGAAGAATTTATGACTTTTACCTCACTTCATTTAAAGTTCAAGTACAGTAGCAGACAAACCCCATTACTTTATAATTTTCTTGTGGCATTTACTACATTTACCTGCTCTAATACAGCACCTGTCTCTCTCTTTCACTCTCTGCACATTATATTGTGTTGTGTATTACATATTATATATTATAGTATAGATTACATATAACACACATATATTTATATACACACATGTGTATGTATCTACATCTGTCTCTAGTCAAATTTCTCCTGTGCTACAGACCTATCTATCTTCACTTGGTCCCACCAACCAAAACTCACTGTGTCCAAAATTGAAGTCACCCCCCCCATTCCCTGCACAAGTTTCATCCAGTGTTCCTTATCTAGGTGAAGGGCCTCCCCATCTCTCTATTCATCAGAACTTCACATCATCGTCTTAATCTCTAAGTCTGTTGATTCCACTTCCTAAGTGCTTTTTAATCTGTTCTTTCTACCTGCTACTTAGTTCATTTCTTGCTGAGATAGCCTCCTTAGTAGCTCTTCTGCTTTCAGTCTTCTTCCCCTCTAACATTTCATATTGCTTATAGAATGCTCTTTCTAAGACATGACTGTGTTCCTGTCACCTACTTATTGAACTGTTATTCTCTCTTTGTTCCTGCAGATCCATTCTCTGTCCTTCCCGCCCCTGCTCAGTGCCTGGAAGCTGACCTGTATGGATTACATCACCTCAGCTTCTTGGCTCTTTGGCTTCCCGTTGGGTTTGGCCAGTAGGAAAACACTGTTGGGAGGGCAGGAGACAGAGGCTGAGGTCCTCATAGCCTCACCCCACTAAAGTTCTGACAGTGATTACATTCCACTGGACTATGCGACTACTGCCCCCACCCCTGCAGTAGCTCTAGTAACATCTGGTCCTCCCTTTGCCATTTCAGGCTTAGGGCTGTTGAAGTCTTCCTGCTGAGGTTTATGCCTTATTGTCAATACCTTAATCCTGACCACAGTTTCATTGAACTCTTTTCAGTTAAATCTTTTGAGTGTCAACAGTTTCCTGCTGAGACTTTGATACTTACCTAAAATCTTTCAGTGCTCTCCTGTCAGCGTGAAGTCCTCATTCCTTAGTGTAGTAGCAGCCACTGCTTACCTCTGTAGCTGCAGGTGTCGAAATGTCCCCCCGTGTTCCCTACATTCCATCCTTGAGAATGGCTGGACCACCTCTGATTTCCCTCATCTCCATTGTTTTATACATACTTGCCACCCCCACCCCCTGAGTTTGTTTCCTTGCCTCCAGCTTAATTCTTCAGTGCTTCACTCACATTTCCTCTTTTCTGGGAAGCTGTCCTCAGTTCTTCCCTCTGCTTCAGGATTGGAGAAATGCCTAGTCTTTGTGCTTTTATAGTGTCCTCCAAATGTCGTAAAAGTATTGACACTGGACTGTAATTTTTGGTCCTTCTCCTGCTAGGTTGGAAAGACTGAAACACTATAATTACCATGTAGAAGAATTTTTTTGGTCATAGAATATAAAAACAGCTACTATTATCCCTGTGAATAAAAAAGAAAAAAATATAAGATTCTGGGCAATTAAATATTTAGGAAATGTATTTTCTTTTATATTTCTCAGCTCAAAGGTGCAGAGCTTTGAAGGAAATGGATTTAATTAAAGCTTCTGGGTCAGGCTGTTACTGCTACTATCAAAATTCCCAAATTGAGTGGAAATACATATGGTCAACTATGCAGGTAAGAGCATACTTTCAAATCATGTCATAGGAACAGGGAATTAAAATGTACTGTTTCAAGAGTAGAAAGCAGCATTTGTATGACTTAGAGCTGTGTATCAGTATGAAAGCTGACTGCGGAATCATACACAGTTCAAAGAGGAGGGGTGTGTGGGTGGGGACATTAATTCTCTATTCTCTTCTCCAGCCCTTCTCCAAAACACCCCAGATAAATATACTATCTAAGTGAGTGCGGTGTACTTGCTGTTTAGACGTAGCTCAAGACAACACCTCTTGCTTATTTTCCAAAGTAATTGCAATCCCAAGCCTCTCTATATAGAAATTCTGAAGTTACCTCTGATCCCAGGTATGGCCAAGATATAGTAGTTACTCTGGAGAGCCTAGTACAGTGATACCTCGGTTCTCGAATGCCTCGATTTTCGACGAAATGGATATTCGAGAAACTTTTGTCTCGGAATCCAAACAAATATTTGGAACTCGAACTTCCGAGATGAGTCGAATGGCGTTCATTCGGCCCAGCGCGCCTTGCTTGCGTCATCAGTGTGAGTGCAGAGAGAGAGTCACGCTTTGTGGAGTCACGCTTTCCTATTGGGTTTCATTGCTTCGGTTCTCGAACAATTCGGTTCTCGACCGTCCTCCTGGAACGAATTATGTTCAAGAACCGAGGTATCACTGTACTTTACCTCATTCAACATTTAACAAATATTTATTGAGCACCTACTAAGTGCCAAGAATTATTCTAGGTTGTTAGAATACATCAGTAAACAAAACAGATCCCTGTTCCTGTAATGTGTACACTCTTGGTGGTGGGGGTAGGGTGGGGTAAGCCATAAAAGTTAAAGAGAAGAAAATTATAAAACTAGTTAAGTTCTGCCCTGGCCAGTTTGGCTCAGTGGTTAGAACGTTGGCCCATGGACAGATGGGTCTTGGGTTTGATTCTGGTCAAGGGCACATACCTGAGTTTCAGGTTTGATTTCCAGCCTGGTTGGGGTCGTGTGGGAGGCAACCAATTGCTGTGTGTCTCTCACATCGATGTTTCTCTCTCTTCCCCTACCCCCATCCTCCCTCCCTTCCACTCTCTAAAAATCCATGGGAAAATATCCTCTGGTGAGGATTTAAAACAAATAGTTAAGTGCTATGAAATAAGAAAATGAAGAGTAAGATAAATGGAATGAGGGAGATGGGGGGCAAGTTACAGTATTTATTTAATTTTTTAAAATATGCATTTATTTATTTTTTTAGAGAGAGAGGAAGGGAGAGAGAAATAGAAACACCTATGTGAGAGAGAAACATCATTTGGGTACCTCCTGTTCACCCCCTACTGGTAATCAAGCCTGTAACTTGGGGATGTGCCCTGACTAGGAATCAAACCGGGACCTCTCCGTCCACGGGACAGTACTCAATCCACTGAGCCACACCGGCTAGGCACAAGTTGCAGTATTTTAAAAAGTAGTCAGAGTAGGAGGTGACATTTGAGTAAGATTTCAATGAAGTGAGTGAGTTACCCAAGAAAGTATTTGGGCAAGGAATGTTCTAGGTTTCCAGAATAGCTAGGATATATCAATAAGCATACAATGTTGATTTGTACCATTACTGATCATTTACACCCTCTTTGATCACTTGGTTAAGGTAGTATCTGTCAACTTAAGAGTTTTACAGCTGTAAAATGACTATTTTCACCTCTGTAAGGAGGAATATTTTTAGCAGATAATTTGAGACTCTGTAGAGATCCTATTCCTCATCAAACTCTCACCACCTAGTTTTATCATTCATTGATGATGCTTGCCTGAATCAGTTACCATGTTTGACAAAGGGTGATTTTCTAATTCCATTAGTCCTTCTATATTCATTGGCATTCTTCTATAAAGAGTAATTTTTGTCTGCAATTTATTTATATCCACATAATCTCATGAATTGCCAGTTCATTCACTGGACTACATTCCAGTACTTTGGGTTTTTTCTTTATGTTTATTTTGATATTCCAGTTGCCCTAGATTTGGTTAGTAGGAGCCCCTCTAAACTAGCTCCTGTGGCCTTTTAATTTATGCCGATCATTTGAGCACTTCTTTACCTTCTGGCAAACAAGATGTTCCAGGCTTATCTTATAATTTCTTAGACCCAGCTCTGGAATCATACATTTTTCCAAGGAGCATTCAGCGTTAATTGTGTTTAACTGTTGCCATGTTGTTATCATAATGTGTTTACACACACACACATCCCCATTCACCTGCTCATGTATTTATTTCTACCTATATTGAAAGCCATGAATTCTGATATCTCCAGTGCCACTGGGTTAATTCTAATCTCCCTCCTTTCCATATTTGTAACTTCCTTCTCTGAGAAACCTGGTTCCCATTATCCTCAATATATTGATTTATTTGCCTAATTCTAGAATACACTGAAAGTAACTTCATGTTTGCTAAGCCACACCATTGTGTAAAACAAACCTAGTAACAGGAGTTTAATATTTTTTACAGTGTGTTTTATCTTTAATTTGTAGGTATATAGTGTAAATACTGTGCTCAGAAGTTACTTGGGTTAATTTACTCCCACCCATCCCCCTTCAATATGGTCATACTATTCATTTGAAATATAATTTTTTTTATTTGTTTCCATTTCAGGGTTGATTTTAGTAGTAGTAGTAGTAGTAGTAGTAGTAGTAGTATGTACAATAGTAACATGGCTGAAAAAAACTGTACACAAAGGTATTTTTAGAGAAGTGTTACTACCCCTCATATTCCTCTACACATTCCTACCAAACCCATGTAGGTGGTTTTATTAGTTTCTGGTATATCTTTCCTCTGTTTCTTTTTGCAAAAGTGAGCAGTGATGCATATTTATAGATGGTGATTAAAGCCATGAGACTAAGGAGTGAATTTATATGGAGAAGAGAAGAGGGCCAATGACTGAGCCTGGGTCAGTCTTATATTAAGAAGAGGTCACAGAGGAGGAAGGGGCCAGCAGAGGAGACCTAGAAGGAGCAACTAATGAAGAAGATGCCCAGGAATCCCTGGGGGAAAAAAAGTGCAACAAGGAAAAGGGAATAATCAGCAGTGCTGAATACTGTTGATGGAACACATAAGATGACTGAGAATAAATTGATCACTTGATTTAGAAACATGGAGGGCACTGGTGACCGTGCCAAGGACAGCCTAATGAGAGCGAAAGCCTGATTGAAATTGGCTAAAGAGAATAGGAGGAGAGGAAGTGCAGACTACGGGGGAGAGTGGAGTCAATAGAAAGCTTTTTTGATGGGAAAAATATCAGCCTATTTGTATGCTGATAGAAATGGTCTAGTAGAACGGGAAGAAGTACTGGGTGGATGTCCTTGAGTAGGCAAAGGTAGATTAGATCCAATGCACAAGTTGGGGGCTTGCCTTGAGAATGGAGCATGTAAATCTCTGTGGTAGAAATTCCCTCCCCACAGACCAGAAGCAGAACGTGTGCCTGCAGATGCTGACAGATGGGGTTATGGGATAGGAGGAGGTGCTGGGATATTGGTGAAGAAGTGAAATATTGGGAAGAGTGACTAGACAGGAATGTGTGGTATGATTGCCTGCAGATTTCAGGTCCCACTTTGGGTTCACAGTTATGGGTTTGCAGTGAGACCACTGTGTGTTTCTCCAGCAGAATCAGTGGCACAAATGTAAGAATGGAATAGGTGGAAGGTTGGATTTTGCAGGTGGGTGTGACAAAAAAAGAGGGATTTAAGACTCAAGAATACATGTAAGGGAATGATTCCTAAAGACACATCTTAGCTGGATAAGAAGGGGTTGAGTACATCAAAGGGGTGAGGAGCAGGGTAAAGATGTTTGATCCGTGGTGGAGTCAAAGGCTTGCTGGGGTTGGGGTGCGAAAAGGGGCATGCTGGAAAGGTAGGAGGTAGTGGTCAGCCAGTGAGATGCATGAGATGCAACCTGTATTGGGGGCTTCAGTTTGGGACTGACAAGACCCAGTGTGTGGCCCTGGGAGTGATTAGCTGAGATAGGTAGAAGACTAGAACATAAGAGGAGAGGAGTCCAAGGAACCAAGAGGCCAGCGTATTGGAAGGAGTTTGGTGTGTATACTGTGTATGCTGAATCCCCGAGACATGATTGCAAGTAGTATTGGAGAGAGAAAGCAGCAGAGAGCCAGGAGCTAAAGTCCAAGAGAAAGGAGGGGTAGGTAGGCAGTGGATGATACCACCTGATGCCCGAGAGTCAGAGCTGGGGCTCTCACTCCCCTTTCAGGCTTGCCCTAATCGTGGACAAAGAGGAGACATAGAAGGGGATGGACAGAGGCAGTAGCAGAGTTGTCATTTAGTGATAACTGGGTTGTCACCATCTGCTTGGCATCATAGCCAGTGCTTTGTTGTGAGACTTGAATAGGAGTTTCTGGGTTTGGGTTCTGGTCCTTCAGGAGGCGTGGTGAGAGAAGCCAGAATTACATATGTTCTGCTTGATCCAGAAGGAAGCACTTCTCAGTCATAGTAGAAAATGGTAGAGAGACAAATCCTGTTCTCATGTTTATAACCAAATAGCTTGCCACCTATTACTTTCTATCTCATCTTTGTTTGCATGTCCCTTGGCCACAGTAAACTGCTAGAAGAAGGAATTTAATCAACCACAACTTGGGGGAACAACCATCCACTTTCAAAAGTGTCTGTGCTCGAGTGTGTGTAGGTTCATCTGTGGCATCAAAACACCACCACATACATCTGCATGTTCTTTACTCAACCCATCTTGGGCTCTCTTTACTTCTCTGCTTATGATTTTAATACACTTTTAAGAAGTTTTGACTTCTTGTATTTATGGAGTTGTTCATTCTTGTTTTATAGGTGAAAATTAGCAGTTCAGGCCTGCTCAGTATTGTATATATCTCAGAAAGACATCATTGCCAGGATCCAGAAACCATTCTATCTATTATAAAATGTGTGATGCATAAATTTTGGACACCACATGAGTCTCATGAAATAACCCTAAGCATCAATCCATATGGGGATACTGTGTGCTTCTCTGTGGAGCCTGTCAGAAATTACACAATACACGTGGATCGAAACAGTAAGTCTGTTTTTATTATTCTGGATTTTCTCAGTTCAATTTTTCTGGAGTGACATTTCAGTAAATTGACTTTTCTCTTTATTCACTAATACCATATTGACACAAAATCTTTGTTTTGTGTGTGTCTTTTTTATTCCAGTTGTGGATTTCAAACTCTTCCTTGTATTTGTGGCAGGCATTTTCCTCTTCTTTTATGCAAAGACCTTGAGTCAGTAAGTACTCATTTTTACTTTCTTAACTTTGTGAATCAAAAAGTATAGGACATTTCTGATGCTGTGCTAAATATCTCCACACTAGTTTGTAGGTAGTTCTTGCTTTAGGTTTTGCAAACAATAGGTCTGAAGCTCGTGCTTGAAAAGTCTTCAAAACCAGTAATAGTTATTTATGTAGTTATAATATGTAAATGTTGGAGTGCTTTTACATGCATTATTTTGTTATTAATATTACTATTAATGTAATTAATATTACTTATTAATATACATGATTTAAATTTATTTGATCCTCTTAACAAGTATGTGAGCCCTGTATTATTCTCATTTTGTAGATGAGAAAACAAGTATCTGTCAGGGCTGAGATTTATACTCAGGTTTTCTGATGCCAGATGCCTTGCTCTATTACATTCAGGCTGCTTTCCAGATTTATGGCTCTGATACAGAAGGTTGAATTTAACAAATATCTGATAAACATTATTCTGATATTTTGTTTCTTACAACTTCACTAGTGAAAAAGGAATCTCTTTCCAATAATATTTTACTTCTTAGCCTGCTATTCTTAACATTGTTTTTTTTAACTTTTCCTTATAGCATAATCAAGTATTTAATATCATCCATGGTCCTTATAAACTGGATGTTGCTTATATATCTTGAAGAGTAAAGCTTGGACTCAGGAGCTGGGCTGCAAGCCTGATCCGCTAGTCAGCAGATACTGACTTGGGGAAGGTCTTCAACTTCTCGGTGCCTTAGTTTCCTCCCCTGTAAAATGTAGACATGGAAAGTTGTTTCACAAGCTGTTGAGAATGCACGTAAAGCTCTCAGACAAGTGCCTGCTATATGCTAGGTGCTTAATAATTATTGTCGAAGCAGATTCTGAACAGAATATAACTCAGAAATTCTGTTTTGAGTTAGTGGCAAACTATTTACCATAAATATCAGGTAGAGATTTCATTTTTTAAGAGTATAGGATGGCCTTGGCCGGTTTGGCTCAGCGGTTGGAGCGTCAACCTGAGGACCAGAGAGTCCTGGGTTTGGTTCCCGCTAGGGGCATGTACCAAAAAAAAAAAAGTATACGATGTAATTAAAGCTGGTGAGTTTGAGTTTTTCTTAGTGTTCTTTATGGCTACTGTCATCAAGTTAAACATGTTTTTCATACTAATAGTGTAACTTGGGATTTAAATGCCTTTTTATCTGCTTGTCTTGACAGAAGCCCTATTTTCTTTTACTCTTTGGGGACTGCACTAGGTATTCTAATGACATTAGTCTTTCTCCTGCTGCTGGTAAAAAGGTTAATTCCTGAGGTAGGTATACTATGTGCAAATGAATAAAAAATGGAAATCAAGGTCTCCATAGACATGAAAAATTTATCAAATTAATTCACATTGATTATGACAATTCCTAATTGAAACTATATTTTTATATTATATAAACTAGCTTTAAAATGTTTTTTTGTTTTTTTTTTAAGATTTCATGTTTATTTGTTCCTGTATGTAGGCTTGCATATTAAGTCTTGGTGATACTTTTCTTGAGACTCTTTCATGTTCTAGATTATATGTTTTTCTTATGAGTGACAGGGACTGATTCTATGCTAAGTGAAAATTTCTCTTACCTTGGCATAGCTGAGGACTCTCACAATGCCGAACCATCAGAGCTTTGAATAACAGCATTGCTACATCAGGGGATTTCTTTATTATTATTATTTCCCCCAAACAGAATACCCTGTGCTTAGTTGAAGAGAAATAAATATTAGTTCATGATGATAACGTTGCAGTTTCTCTGATTAAAGCTTGCAATTCCAGCATTATTTTGAGATAAATTTATTCTCTAGAACAGTGCTTCTCTAACTTTAATGTACATGCAAGTCACCTGAGGATCCTGGTGAAGTGTAGATTCTGACTCAGGAGTCTGTGGGGCCTGAGAGTCTGCATCCCAGCAGCTCCCAGGTGATGCCAAAGCTGCTGGTTCATGGACCACACCTTTATTCAGACTCTAGAGCAGTGGTTCTCAACCTTCCTAATGCCGCAACCCTTTAATACAGTTCCTCGTGTTGTGGTGACCCCCAACCATAAAATTATTTTTGTTGCTACTTCATAACTGTAATTTTGCTACTGTTATGAATCACCATCAGAAATATGTGTTTTCTGATGGTCTTAGGCGACCCCTGTGAAAGGGTCATTCGACCCCTGAGGGGTCGCGACCCACAGGTTGAGAACCGCTGCTCTAGAGTATTGAATTGACTTCAATGCAGTTTGATGTAGAAGTGTCTAATACAAAAAATTTATTTGTTCTATTTTTATGAGAGTCAATGAACCAAAAACTGTGTCGTTTATTTTCTTCCACACACAGTATAGCACCTTTTTGGCTTTAATGGTTGGTTGTTGGTTTGCTTCAGTTTATGTGGTGTGCCAATTGATGGAAAATCTGAAGTGGCTGTGGTATGAAAACACAATATATATATTGGGTAGGTAAATTTTTAAAAAAATACATTCTGTTATTGGTAAAACTGAAAAGTACAACAGAGGCTTTCTATTGGCATGTTTCTGGCATCTAAATGTTTATTTTGAACTAGGAAGCACTGTTAAAAATAATATTTTATTCATATAGTTGGTGATTTTAGTTCATTAGATCTCATTTTAGACTCTTTCCGTATGACATCCTTCTTAGTTTTTTGTACTAGTGATCAAAAGAGCAAAATACTATTTGCCCCTTTTGACTACAAATACTTTTGAATTGTGGTTGAACTCTGACCACATCTAACTTGTGATGAAAAAATTTCTCTAAAATGTGGCTCTTTATATCTTTTTCTTGATGTATTTGATATGAAAATTGAGAAATCCTAAATATAAATGACTAATAAAAACTTGACTTTTCTGCCCTGGCCGGTTTGGCTCAGCGGTGAGAGTGTCGGCCTGCGGTCCAGAGAGACCCGGGTTCGGTTCCCACTAAGGGCATGTACCTCGGTTGCAGTTTGTCCCCGGCCCTGGTTGGTCGTGCGGGTGGCGGCCACTCGATGTGTCCCTTTCACATCGATGTTTCTCTCTCTCTCTCTCTCTTCCTCTCTCTCCCTATCACTCTATCTGAACAAAAAAATGGAAAAATGTCCTCTGGTGAGGATAAAAAAAAACTTGACTTTTCAGAAACAGAGACATTAAGAAACCACTTGTTCTCCTTGTTTCGCGTTACCAAAAACACCAACTTTTTCTAATTGTTTTAATTGTGAAATAATGGAAAGTGAGAGAATTATTGGTTTTCTTCTAACCCCTAACCCCAAATTTTCTCACGTAAGTTTATCCACCCAAGTCAAAAGCAATAAATTTTTGTTTCATGTTGAGATTTCATGTTTTTAGTTCATTTTTCTATGCTGAAGTATTTTTAAAGTAAATTACTGATATTATGGTATATTCCCCTAAATACTTCACCTAGCATCTCTAAAAAACAAGAACATTTTCCTCTGTAGTTAAGTATTAAATCTAAAAATAATTAATAATTACATAAAATTTTTACCCAGGCCATGTTTAAATTTCCTAAACATCTTCGATGGTTGGTTTATATAAACTAAGATATAGTCTAGAATCACATTTTGTATCTGTTTTGTCCTATAAGTCTCTTTTAATCCATAACAGGTCTTTTTTCATCACAGTGATATGCTGAAGAGACAAAGCTAGTTATTCCTATAGAATGTTCTAATTTTTTTATTTCTCTGATTATTCCTTTATGGTATTATTTAACTTTTTTTCGCTCTCCCCTGTATTTCTTATAAACTAGAAATTAGACCTTGAGGCTTGCTAAGACACAAATGAAACGCTTTTGGTGGAATGCATAAGAGGCCATGTGCACTTCACATTGAATCACCACGGGAGATGTAGAGTATCTCATCGTCCCTCCATTATTAATGCTGAAACTGAGCACTGGATTGTGAGGGCGACAGCCTGATCCCTCCTGTAAAATTACATTTTCTTTTTGTGACTAGAAAGTAAAAATTAAAAATAGGGTTTGTAGCGCGCTGTGACATGTGCCGAGGCTTATTCCTGACCAAAGCAACCATAATGACATTTGCCCTTCTAGGACTCTGGACTAAAAAATAGATATATATTATAATCATTTATGATTATTCATCCTTAATTATGACAAGTCAGCCTAGTATCTCACGCGGACGGATTAACGAGCCTTAAATGCCTTTTTAAATGTTACTTTATTGGAAAAAGAAAACAAAAATGAAGATGTTTCTGGTATGCACTTAGCTCTCAGTCAATGCTCTGCGAGGCTTTTCACATAAATTTTCAAGTTCAGATTTATGTTAGTTTACATTCTTCTGCTTTTACAGGCTATGTCTTGATAGTTGGATTTTATAGCTTTGCTGTTTGTTACAAACACGGACCCCTTGTTGATGAGAGGAGCATACGTCTTCTGACGTGGACACTGCAGCTCCTCTCCCTGTTTCTGATCTACTGTGGTGCCACCGTGCCTCAGTTCACGTATGCAGTCATGGTGCTCATCCTTTCGTCCAGGGGTCTGCACTACCCGGCGAGAGCATTCAGGTATATGAGGTGGTATGTATCTTTTATTTTCTTTATAAATTTGACTTTTTATATATATATATATATATATATTAGACATTTTGAGCTCTGGTTTTATTTATTGTTTGGGGGAATTTTTTTTTGGACAAATCATAATCTCATAGGTAACTAACTGTATTTCATCTGGAGATTTACCTCTGAGAGAGGGAAGGATAGAGAATAGAAGCATCTGATCTAATCTCCATTGCAATCTTTAGAGGTATACCACCCATCATTAGGTAATTACAGCTCACCTAGAAGTTCCTAAAATCAGCAACAAAATTACTTGGGCTCTGGGTTGCCTAAAATTTATACTTTCATTTTATATTTTCTTTATTAGGGCCAAACACTGCTTTAGGGGTATTTGTTCTGCTTGTAAGATGAGTTCGGAAACAGAAATGAATCATAAATGATTGAAAGGTTTTATTTATGTTTAGGACATTTTTTTCCCTTAGGTTTTAAGTTAAGGTTTAAGCCTTTTGAAAGCACAGAAAGATGAGGGAACGTCTGTCGTGACAGCTTTGTTTTGTCTCTCTTCATTCATTGAGTCTGACTGAACACCTGTTTTCATGTCTGGTGCACAGATTAAGTAGATGGTCCCTACCCTTGAGGTGTACTTGTTGAGACAGAGGCAGAGGCATACATTGTCATACATTTGAAGTGTTAAAATAGACCTGCCCAGGGACTAGGGCATATAAAGTTAAGATTTTCTGGAAGAGATATTTTTGGGCTTAATCTTAATGTCTCAAAATACCCAAATGACTAAATGTATGAAGGGCTTTCCTGACAGAGAGAAAGCCCAGTTTGGTAACATCATGAGGCAGGCGAGCATGATGGGCATCAGACAGGTTATGGAGGCATCGTAGGCCATGCTAATAAATCTAGTCTGACCTTTATATGGTGGAAGGAGGTAATCAATATGTATTTTAGTCAGTGCTCCCTGACTGATCCTATGTATCTAAATATTTGGGGCCCTGACAGGTACCGAATGAGTGATGCCCAGCCAGGGATAAGGCAGTGGGGTGATCATGAGAAGTATGGGAAATTTTTCAATGCAGCTTCATTGACTTGATTTTTGCCATGTGGGAATATGAGCCCTGTTTTTCCAGATCTTCTGGTTTTCTAGAAAAGCTAGGAATGTGGCTATGGCTGGTTTGGTTCTGTGGTTAGAGCATCACCTGCGGTCCAGAGAGACCCGGGTTCGGTTCCCGCTAGGGGCGCATACCTCGGTTGCAGTTTGTCCCCGGCCCTGGTTGGTCATGTGGTGGCAGCCACTCGATGTGTCCCTTTCATGTCGATGTTTCTCACTCTCTCTTCCTCTCTGTCCCTCCCACTCTATCTGAACAAAAAATGGAAAAATGTCTGCGGGTAAGGATTAAAAAAAAAAAAAAATTAAAAAAGAAAAAGAAAAGCTAGGAATGTGGATTAGAGCGTGATTCTTATGATTTTTATTTGTTGGCAACTAATCTGAAAATAAAAAGTATTCAATAAGCAAAATCCAAAGCCGAGACCATGAACACCCATCAGGCAGCAGGATGTGGCCCATCTGTCTTCTGGCACAGGGTGCATGTAAGGGGGAGGTTCTGGGGCAGGAGACATCACACTGGTCCAGGCAAGAGATGATGAGGACCTGGAGTAAGACAGTGAGACCAAAACCTAGAAGAGGGAGTTAATGAATACTTACAAGGTAGGCTTGGCTGTGGTAACTGGTAGTTTATGGATCTGGTGACTGCATGTGTGGTGATGTCACAGATCCAAAATAGACCAGTGCCAGGACAGAGTCCCATGTGCAGAGGATGTTGGCGAGGCTGAAAGGCAGCAGGGCCAGGTTGGAGGGACTGATGCTGGCTGATTTCTCTGCCCCATGTCAGAGCCCGACAGTGACTGGGATTGCCAGAGGTCCCTCTACCAAGAGGAGGCTGACCACTGCACATCTTCTAGGCCTCTGGTCATTTGCATCCTGAGGAACCCAGGATAGAATTTCTTCCTCTTTCCTTATTTTTTTATCCTCACCGGAGGACATTTTTCCATTGTTTTTGTTCAGATAGAGTGGGAGAGAGAGAGAGGAAGAGAGAGAGAGAAACATCGATGTGAAAGGGACACATCGAGTGGCTGCCTCCTGCACGACCCTAACCGGGGCCGGGGACAAACCGCAAGTGAGGTATGTGCCCTCAGCGGGAACCGAACCCTGGTCTCTCTGGACCACAGGCTGACGCTCTAACTGCTGAGCCAAACTGGCCAGGGCTCTTCCTCTTTCCTTTTAAACATTCAACTTCCCTGCCAAGAGCAGAGTGTGTTCTGTCACCTGCACAATGATTCTTTTAAGCACTTGCTGTGCATTCTATTACCGTGAATATAATAATCAAAATGTAGTATAACTTCAACTTTTCATTTTGCTAGTGAATAATTACGTGAAGTACTAGGGGATAAAACAGAAATTTATTTGTAAGTTAATAAGCCACAAAAATGATACTGCTTTCTAGTTTGCAAAGCACTGTTTGAATATATTTTTATAATATATGTTAGTTGTTTTTTTTTTGTCATACTTATTGAACACTTACTTTGGGCCACTCACTGTGCTAAACACTTTATACAAAATATTTAATCTGTACAGTGACCTCATGAGGTAGATGTTACTGCTTTTAGTTTTTTCATATGAGCAAATTGAGGCTCAGAACTGTTAAGAAATTGTCCCAGTTCACAGAGTGGGTGAACCTCAAAGCTAGGACTGTGCCCCAGTCTCCTGCTTAGAGGAAAGGGCTTTTCCTCTAGGGAGACCAGGCTAGGTATTCAGAAAAGAAGAAGGAAATCATATTAGTGGTTCCCTCACCCAGCATATCACCACCACGTGATATTTAAAAGTTAAAAGATTTTTCAGGTCCCAATGCTCAAGAAAAATTTATGTTCAGAACACCTGCTGGTAATTCTGATGCTCATTTAGATTTGGGGAGATTCTTCCCTTTAGGACTTTCCTGGTAGGGAAAAAATTCCAGTCATGAGCACTTCAGCATGTGGCAAAGCAAGAATTATTATAAATTATTGTACATGTACAAGCCTTGTACAATATTCACTCCCTCTTACTAGGATTAGTCAGAATCACTACCACTAGGTGGAGGCGATATCCCACAAATCCTCCTGCTTTTCTGTCTAGAAGATAAGTGGTGAGTGAGTCTACTAGGTCTCCATAAAAGGACATCTCAGAGGCCTGCTTCTGTTAATGCAAGAAAATCAGCAGGCCGAGCATAAAGAAGCCAGACTTTTAATTGTCTGATTTTGTGATTAGAAATCACCAAGGAAGAAAGACACGATTAACATCTCTATTGGAAATTAATCCTCAAATGCCTTAGAACATTATTTAGGATGGTCCAGAAGAGGGGAACTGTACCAGCAGGCCCAAACGGCGTGTTCTAAGTACCTCATTCACGATAACGACAATAAAAAGTATAGTATGATATAAAGGAAGTTAAGAAACATTACTGTTGCTGTCAAAGAAATGTTTTTTCAAAATCTTAAGGGTTGAATTGAATAATCAGATATGGCTAAGAATCTAGCAACCAAATGCTGCATATCTTAGGAAAATGAAGAAGTGGTTTACAGGAAAGCTGGCAGTGAAGTATCTTACTGAAGATGAATACAGGGAACAAGCTGATGCTGAAACAGCCAGCGCTTTGGAGGAACTGCGCCAAGCCTGCCGCAAACCTGACTTCCCATCGTGGCTGGCCGTCTCCAGACTCCAAGCTCCTAAAAAGTAAGCCTGTTCAGCTACTTGGACCACAACTTGGGTGAGAATTATTGTGAAAATACTGTGATGGTTTGGTCCAGATACTTCAGACTAGAAGCAGATTACTTCCCTGCATAACAGATGATGTGAAGGCTGTCGGAGGTTCTTCTTTCTCCTCAGTGCTCTGACTCGCACAGTAGAACTGCTAATGTCAGAGTAAATATTGATCTGATGTGTTTTATAGGAAAGGCCACAAAGATAACTTTCATATGAGAAGGAGAAAGGTGGAATGGGCTATGTCACTTGCTTCTCATTCTACTGGTGTGGAAAGTGATCTTTAAAGTTCACCAAGACAGACATCTCTGCCCCAACCTCTTTTCCCTTACTGCTTCCCCTTCTTCATGGCTTTATTCAAACACCAATGCACTCAAATTAAAGATTGAAGGGGGAATGTTTGACACTAAAATAATGAATAAATAGTAAATCTAAACTAATAAGAGAGAAGAGAGGAATTAGAAAACAGGAGCGGGTATATTTGACAGCACTCAGTGCCTGTGTCTGCCTGCTTCTCTAACCTTTCCCTGAGTATCTTGAGAAGGATCACATAAGCCATTCCTGTTTTTACTTCCACTGTGTAAATGCCATTCTCTGTTGCCACAAAGTCCAATTTAATTAAAGAGGATTATGTGGCAAGGGAACTGTTATCTTTCAAATAAGCCTTTCTGTGATAATATTAACTTTATTTAAAACAACAAAAAAACACTTAATAGGTTTGCAGACTTTGTTCTTGGAGGAAGCCACTTATCGCCCGAAGAAATCAGTCTTCATGAAGAACAGTACGGCCTTGGGGGTGCCTTCTTGGAAGAGCAGCTCTTTACCCCGAGGACTACCTGACAGTCCGCCTGCACACTGACTTCATTCTGGACAAGGAAGTATGTAAAAGCCAAGGATCCTTTCAAAGTCCTAGGGAACAGTGGCAAAAGAATTTGCTTTGGAGAAAAATCAAGTCACACTGGAAAGGGAAACTAAACTGTTTTGAAGATAACTTCTCATTCTTGGCCAGTTCTGCTATTTATTGTATTGTAGGTGGCCACCAGGATTCTATGACTGCCGTTACCACTTTCCTTGAATGAAGATTTTCATTAGGAACAAGGGAATTGTGTTGACCTTTAAGGGGCCAATAAGCATGAATAAGTGCCTTCTCAAAACCAGGGCATTAAATCCGCTCACTCTCCAGAGCCTGTCAGAGTGCTCTGCACGGCTCTTCCTAAATGTCGTCAGTGTAAGTGCTGGCAGAGACCTGAGATAGGCTGGACCAGTGTTTCCAAACGCATAGTCTACAGATGCTAGTAAGTGTTGGTAAAGGGATTCTGAGAGGTCAACTAAGAGGTCAACTAAGATTGATACAAAGTTAAACAAAAGTACTGCAGGACTTCTCAGAATCTTTAATAATGCTAATTCACATTGTGAATTTAAGAGAAGTGTGTAGTGGTTTCCGACTTAATTTGACGACAGAACAGTTTTTCAGGAGATGAGTATTCCTTGGCACACATGTTGAGGAAATGCTGATGATGATGGAATTGAGATTTGGGGAGGTTAAACAACTTGTTCAAGGCCACAGAGCTATTTAAAGGCAGCACTGGGACTGGAGCTTCAGCCTTGATGTTTACTCTGACTCAGGTAGAAGAGACCTTTAGAGGCGAAGTAAGAGTTCCTTACAGCCTTGGGTCTCACAATATTGGTGACTTTTTCATTTTTTAATAATGACCAACTAGCTATTTGGTAACTGTGATGGAGAGAAACATTTCCTAAGATTATATTTTAAAGTTTTGATAAGACTTTTATAGACATATAATAAAGATTAGATATTAAAAAATTACTTTTTATATTTTTTTATATATATTGAAATTGAAGGCATTTAACTTCTTGTGACTTTTATTTTTATCCTCACCCAAGGACATTTTGCACTCATCTTCAGATACAGCGGGAGAGGGAGAGGGGAGGAAGAGAGAGAGAGAGAGAGGGAGAGAGAGAGAGAAACATCAACGTTAGAGAGACACATGGAGTGCTTGCCACCCACACGACCCCAACCAGGGCAGGGGACAAACCACAACCGAGGTACATGCCCGTATCGGGAACCAAACCTGGGACTCTCTGGTCCACGGGCCAACGCGCTAACCGCTAAGCCAAACTGGCCAGGGCTCTTGAGACATTTTGAACCAGGGTCCCTGGTTCATTTTTAAAACTTGTTTAGTTTTATATGTTGGTGACAATTTCTTGCAAAACAGATTTGTGATCTTTCTTACAAATCTTTTGTTCTTGATTCATCATGTTAAACTTCAGAGTGAAATGAGGGTCTAACTGCGAGCTTTGACCCTGAGCAAAGGAGGCCTAAACATAGGTCTAAGAAAAGATCTCGGTGTGGCAAAACAATTCAAGTGTTAAGATGTTGCTAAATTGATTCTCTTTAAGAATCTAACTCAGGCTTTTTTGCTGTGATGGAACCATAAAGAATAGAGGCATAAAGAACGAGCCATCTTTCACTGAGAGAGAGGGTACAGAGGTGGGATGTTTAGAACATTTAGGCACTGCTTTCTTGAGACAAATTTGATGGAGTTGTTATAAATTGTTGAGTAAGAGTGTGGCTACCCATTTGGAACCTTCTAGATTGATTTTCAAATGGTATTTCTTCTTAAGCAGTGTGCCAGTGTTTTACAGGTTTCAGTTTTTGCCAGACACCTTTTAATATTAGGAGGCCTGTTATTTAGTGAAATGCACTAAATTCAGTCTGTGCTTTCACGTAGCCTCTGATTTTAAAAATCAAAGAGAGTATCTTCCATCCAGATTTATGATGGTGATGTTTTGTAAGTGTGAACAACTAACATCATTTTTATCATAGTTCAGTCTGATTTTTTTATAATTATATTTATTGGTTCATCAGTGGTTGTGCTCACCATGTTCCTCTCCCAAGAGGGCAGTTTGTATCCTACAGAATGTGTGTGACTAACATGCGAAGAGTCTTCTGCAGTTCCCAGGAGACATCTCAGCCAAGACAGCCCCAGACCTTACCTGTGCCAGGGTAAAGAGGCGTTGATCAAGCTGAGTTTAACCATCACAATAAAAACAAAGAAAAAGCAACAATCTTCCAGGATGTTGTTTTTCATGTTATTTGTTAGAGGAAATCATGTATTTGTCAGTGTCTATTATGTGAGTACTGTGAAAAGCTAAACAATTAAAAGCATTACTTGTAATATATTTGGTGTGTTTCTGTTGTGTTCACTTGATTTGGAGTTTATTATAGTGCTGATCACAGTTCTAATCCCCATCAAGCAATATACAGATACCGCCCATAAGAATCCTTTTCTCTGCTCCTGGAGGCACACACTGGCCACCACCTTTTGCAACCCCCAGCCTACAATCCTCGCCTTGCCCGAACCTTTGTAATCTCCCAGCCAGCAAACAAATTTTTAAAAAAGAATCTTTTCCCCTCCTTCTTCCTCCTTTCCCAGTTTCTCTTTCTCCCTCCCCTTTCTTTCTCCCTTTCTTTCTCCCTCCCTCCTGCCCTCCCTTCCTCCCTCCCTCCCTCCCTCCCTCCCTCCCTCCCTCCCTCCCTCCCTTCCTTCCTTCCTTCCTTCCTTCCTTCCTTCCTTCCTCCCTCCCTCCCTCCCTTCCCTTCCCTTCCCTTCCCCCTTCCCCTTCCCCTTCCCCTTCCCCTTCCCTTTCCTTTCTTCCTTCTTTCTTTCTCACTCTTTCTCTTTCTCTCTTCTTTCTTTTCTTTCTTTGCCTTTAAACAGGTTAAATGACCATTCAGTAAAATAGCTCTGTCCTTCACAGGTGGTTGCAGGTTTGCTTTGTGCTTCACGCCGGCAGAGGTGTGCAGCTGTGGAGCCTAGCAGAACTGTTGTGTCATTGCTTACACTAGGTGCACGAAAGCTTACTGTTATTAGAAATCCTAAATGGAAATACAGTCAAGTTGGAGTATTTGACACCAAAAAGTGGGTAAGATATAGCGGAGCTGGCCATGCTGAAATAATTGTATCATTCAAATGCTATTTTTAAAACACATTTTACATATCACAAAATATGCTTTGTGAATTTAGTTATATAGTTTGCCAAAAATACATAGGGATGGATTACAGGGGAGAGTGTTCATCTGATATTTAGGATATATGAACTTAAGACATTTTTTTTAAATTTAGAAATTTAAAATTTTAGATTTTAAGAGGTTTAAAACAGATCATGGGTTACATCAATTTATCTAAATGTACGGATGAATTAAGACTCCTGAAATGATGTCCAGAAAAGAAAAAGGATCTTATATTACTCTGTTTGTGATTATTCCCCAGAGGTAGAGAAGTATAGTTTTTAAAATCAGCCTTTTTGGTCCAGCTGATAGATCCTGTGCATAGGTGACATGATGGATGTGGGATTTTGAAGAAGCCTGCAGCGAAAGGTATTTTTAGGTGACTCCAGGAGCAAGCTGCCTTCTGAGATACCCCACTGGGTATGACATTGATGACTTAACCTTATAGATGTGACTCTTGGCCGTACTGATTCAGAACCTTGATTTCTGTCATTGCACCCTAAGAAGACCTTCTCACGTTAGCCAGTTCATATAGTCTGTCCATTTAGTGATTCATAGCCAACAATATAACTAGCATAAGGATAGAAACAGTGGTTTGATATGACTAGCAGATTTTCTCTCAGAAGGCTGAGCCTTACAAGAGCTCAAAGGGTCATAAAAACATTGCTTGGTCAGCAGAAAGAGGACGAAGGGAGTTCACTATATTATTCATGTTTACTGTCATCAGACCAAAAAGGCTAATGCAAACACCCCCCAAGGGGACTAACCTTGCTCAAGTGATGAGATACCCAGTCTGTTGGTAAAGACCACTCCTTTCTTTCAGCCCCTGACAGCTGTTCTTCTTTGTGACTGTTGTTTCTCAAATCTTTTGTTATTGATCAACATCTGAATACCCTTCTAATGAACATGTTCTTAAGATATGTTCAAATCTTCGGTCTTCCTCTGGCAGCTAGGAGTCTAGTTGTCCTAAGGTAACTTTGCATATTTCTGCTATAATCCCTGAATTTGCTACCTTAATGAGTCACTAGGGATTAGGGATGTATATATATTTACCAGGATAAATCTTAGGAGGTGCATTCCGTGGGATATCTGCTCTTGTTATTTGTTTTAAATAATTTGGGGGGAATCTTGTTTTTTGATTTGGTCCATTTTCCAAAAAAAGTAGTGATGAAAAGGAGAAAGAGGAAGAGTATCAGTATTTATTGGAGATCTATCAGGCTTATAATAGGCTCTTTCAATGCCTCTTCATTTGAATCTCATAACCACTCTAATATATATTAATATTGTTTCCACTTTGCAGATGAAGAAAAACTCAGAGAAGGTAAGAGAAGGTTGTTGAAGAACAAACATAAGCGATAGAATCAGAATTTGAGCCCTAGTGTGTCAGTTCCCATGCCCTTTCTACTTCCTTTATTGCCAGCTTTACAAAAAAAATAATTAGTCAAGGAAGTGACCTCATAGCTAATCTTTTCAAGAGATGACTGCATCTGTTGCTGTTATGCTCATGCCAATCGTATGTACCTTGTAGTCAATGTGTACAGTAGATCACGGTCCACAGTGGTGCTTCTAAACTATTTGGAATGATGGACCAGTCCCCCTGCCACCTGGTTCATCACAAGCAATACTTTTTAAAAATACACTACAAGTAAATTAGAAAATGAAATAATTCTTTTTAAAAGGACAAACCAAATATAAGCTCTCCCTGACTTCTGTGGCACTGGTCTTCCCTGCCAACCTCTGAGTGTTCTCTGCCAGGTTGCCAAACTATCCAAGTCACCTCCAGAGTGGATGGGGTCTGGCACTCACAACTAACAAAGCAGCTGGGTTTGAAGGTGCTGGATTTCTAGGTATCTGGGAATATCTAGAAATCCTAAATGGAAAAACAGCCACACACAGGTATCAGGCACATGAGATAGGGGTTCATACCAGTGCTGCTTTCTGGCTTGTTTTACAAAAGCAGGAGTGTCCTCCATGCATTCTGGGGGTGGAAGGTGCTAGTGGACCTGCACTTTGGCATTAGATTTGAGTTAGAATCCTTGCTTTGTGACCTTGGTCCCATAACTAAGCTGTGTCAGCTCCAGAAACTACATAAAGTGGGGATAGTGATAAGGATAAAGCAATACAGTCATCCCTCGTTTATCGCTGTTAATCAGTTCTAGACTAGCCATTGCACCTGGCATTGGAGGATTCCTGGGGTGCTCAAATACATAGGCCTACAGTCCATACGTACAGTAATTTTAATTGTAATTGTAATACAGGAGTGTATAACTGACCCAGACAACCGAGGGCACATCATTTTTACTGTCTCAATCAACTTTTTAATGAATATATTTGAAAAACTGCGATAGAGTGAAGCCACGAAAGTCGAAGTGTGAAGTGGTGAGGGATGACTGTAATCTCATCAGCACCTAACAGGCACTCAGTAACTATGGGTGTGGTACCCCTTTTCTTGGATTCAATACTTAACTCCAGATTGGCTGCAAGAAATACTGCTTAAGTAACGGTCCCAGCACCAGCAGCAGCCTCACCCCATCAGTACTGGAGGAACTGCAAATCAGAGGGCTTAGCCAACCATCTGCTTCACGTGGCCAGTAAAGCAGCGTTGTTCTTCCTCTGAATTGTTTAGGCTTTTCAAGAGGCTTACTGGCTAATGGAGCTTTATGCATTTTAACAGTCTATTATTTTACTTAAAGCTTTGAGTAATAGCTTA